GTATTAAATGAACATTTCCTCAAAATGTTGCATGTTTCAATTGTGCACCTGGTGTTAAGATCCATTGCTTTAACATGTTTCAACTACTTGTGCACGAAAAAAAAACTGTATTTTGACACATTTCCCATTTTATTATACTGATATTGTTTGTAAATTATATTGCTTACAAATAGCTTTATTTATCTTGCTGCAGGCATTCAGATTGTAGGGAAAGGTGCAAGTAAAAGCAGGTGCCAATTATTTTTTTGGCTAGATATTATTTTATTTCTGGCTTTTTTATGTTCACTTTATTTTGCTCTGTTTCCCACTATCTGAATACCTGGAACAGGCTATTCATTTGTCTATCTTGGCAGTTTTGACAATGTATTTATTGGCCTGATTCAACAACACAAATCCTCCTTACAGGCCACCCTTTAATTATGGTTCTTTATTAATATTTTTAGGACAAAACTTACAAAAATTATTCACAGTTAAAAATTTTTAGATATTACAACAAATTCATTCCACCAGTTTCATATGTATATTGAATGAATAGGGAGACCATAAAGGAGAATTGGATTGTTCACAATCCCGTTCACATGGAGACTTCAATGTTAATGTTAGGTTGTTTCAAGGTAGTACCAGTGACACATTTACAAAAATAAAATTAATATCAATAGTCATTAAAATTTGTTGGAACATAATACTGGTAGCTTCAATTTGTTGAGAGGATGACTAACACATAATTTTTTTTTGGGTAAGCTTGCAGTTAAATAGAAATAATGTTGGGTTGCGCATTGCATAATATCGCACACACAGACCACATTTGGTTTACAAGGCCAAGCTGGTGGAGGGGTATAACCCCATCCCAAATGTGGAAATTTTTTATCTTGTTGATTGCACGTTCTACATGTATGCGCAAGCTGGCAATTTCTTGAGTCTTCACAACATCCTCAGCGGGCATTTGGCTAGAACTTCCTAGAAAAGGGGGAATGTTTAAGGAAACTCCCAGTGGTAACAGATCTTGAATGGTGAACCCTTTGTCTGCCATGACTGAGTCATTGTCTTCAAAAGGCAAATCAAGGAAACCACTTCTCGCAACTATCTCCCGATCTGAAATGCTTCCTGTGTAGAGTTGACTTATAAAGGTTATGGCACCTCCGGGACTGATTCCAATGAGACCTTTAAGGGTTGTATGGTGTTTGTAATTACTGAACAATTCACCATTCAGTTGTAGACTACTTGGCATCTGGCACCTAACTTCTGTGCAGTCAATAATAACTCTGGTCGATGAATATTTTTTCTTAAAATCCTCCGGCATAGTTTTGTCAATAGCTGTTCTAGAAGGCCAAATATTGATTTGCCCTAACCTAAGGTACATAAAATTAAGCCAGGTAATAAAAACCCGACTTACTGTAGACACTGAAACGTTAAAAAGATTTGCAAGATGTTCTTCCGGTAGGCCTTGTCTGAGTCTGCACATAACAGCAAAATATTCATCAATTGGCCTCAAGTTTCTTGGTCTGCCCAGTTTTCTTGACGGTTCTCCCTCTGATTCGTCATAGAATTCCGCTGGAACAGAAACGTTTGACTGAGAAAGCCAGTAGGCTATGTTTTCCCCTTCATCTCCTGGATTCAAATAATTAAAGACAGCCAAAAATGTGCTCCAATTTGGGAAACCAGTGTAAAATCTCATTGAAGAGTCATCTTCTTTAAATCTGTCTACCGAAAATAATTGTTTTTGAAGCGCCTCAATACGTCGAAAGGCAATTTCCAACTGAGATTTTTGTTCCAATACTTGCTGTCTAAGTTCTGTCTCACTTCCAATTTCCGGTTCTGTTTGCATCTCCGCATCTCTCACACTGCAAGAAAATGACGTGCTTCCATCGGCGCTCTCGGCGAATTCAACTGAGTCGTTTGCAGAGTTAACCGGAACGTCATCCGTTAAATCTACGGATGAAACATTTAATTTACGGGCTGCTTTACTTGGAGGTATTTCGAAGTTTCGTGCAATCGGATCCTTTCTCTTGCGTGGTGATGTTCTAATCCATGCGAACACGGAAGGCACAACTCCGGCTCTCAGTTCATTTTTACCGGCGAGGGTTTTCTTAATCTCACCTGGCCTGAAGTGTCTGGAGCATACTTTTGTAGCCTCAGTCACTTTGAAGTATTTCCCTTCATCTCTTCTTATAGCGTGTAGCCATCTCCTCTTCAACTGAGGGTCATCGATCGGAAATTTAAAGAACGATATTTTGTTTCCATTTTCATCACGGCAGCCTTTCTTTGTGCATTCTGGCACACAGCAGTGAGTTGGCATTTCGTTCTTGATAATTATACGGTTTCGCGGTCAGTAATTGAACTAAATTGAACAGATATTGTGCCTGAATAAAGCGATCAAAACACTTTGACCCTTTGATTTGTTTACAACTCAAACCAAGCGTGGCCTCACTGGCCTCGTTTCCATGCTGAAATCAATCCCAGTCCGGCGCGCCGTCGGCCATTATGAAAGTCGTGTATATGAGTTGGTCAGCACTTGTTACGAAAGGCCCTCTTATCTTCTGTCGGATTCCGTAAACGTATGACGTCACGCTCGCCTCGAAGTCATCTGCACTTCGATCGTCTATATCCGACTTGTTTGATTTTTGGTGAGAGATTTTGTCCCACTTTTTCGATCATTCCTCGATTGATTCCAATCAATTCAAATAAGAAGATGCCACTGCCTCCGTTTAAAGGATGTTTTGATGTTTCAAAATTGGTCAAAATTTCTGACTGCCGTGTATCTAGTTTTTTGACAACAGTTCCCGGTTGCCGGGTATCTAGACACAGCGAAAACCGTAAACGTATGACGTCACGCTCTCCACTCTTGTCTTCTTGTCCACATCAGGACTTCAGTCTTGCGTATTCTGTAACCTGCGTTACCAAATAAACTATGTATGTATGTATGTATGTATGTATGTATGTATGTATGTATGTATGTATGTATGTATGTATGTATGTATGTATGTATGTATGTATGTATGTATGTATGTAAGTCAATCATTGACAACTTGCAATGTACAATCACTGACGTCAGATTACTGGCGTCAATGTTGGTATAATCCAACTGTTATGAAGGGGTGTGATCAGAGACAAAAGCCTCTTCTTACTCCGCGGGGAAAAGGACCTTTGGCTTTCAGTGGATGTTACTGAATAACATCCTTTGAATGGCCCCAGATCACCAGGCTGTGTATCTAAGTGACAATTATACATTATCACTTTCCTTATTGAATATATGTACCGTGTAAAAATCGCCATACTTATATTTCACACTTGAGGAGAAGGATCAATATTGTTATTTATTATCCCACTATTATGTCATTTTACCATATAAGGTCAAGAGAATGTGCAAAATATGAGGCGGTAATTATAATATTATTTAATAATATTTCTGTCTGATTTCGTTAAAATGACTGGTCACTAGGTTTTCGCCTGGCACCGGGCAGGCCAGTTCAGTGTCCAAAAAGGTAGGGGGCTTGCCTTCTTGGTCAGTTTAGCTGGATAGCCCAGGGACTGCCCTAACAGTGGGTGGGTGGATCAGGCCAGGGGGCCAAAATTGGCGGGGTAGCGAGGGGGCTATTTTGACACAACCCCTTCAGTAAGCAGCAGTGTTCACTAAAGGCTAGGACTGGCAAGTACCTTGTTCTTAATTTGCCCTTGCCACTGAGCTGAATCAGGCCTCTGCTGAGAATGATAATGTTGATAGCCTTAGTCTCTATTTTTATATTTTGCACGCATTGTCCCGCCTTGAATCGCCTTGCTAGCTGCGGGCAATACTTCTGCGAGTTTATTTGTTTATTAATAAAGTTTTGTTGTTATTTTTGTTGTTGTTGATAATTGCAGAGCTCAGTGGGAGGCACAGACAGTCACCCATTGTCCTGGGTGGGGAGGATCAAAGTCTTGGTACCAAGGACACACTTAGCGTAGGACCTCTAAAACCTCACTGAAGCCATGTTTACACAATTTCTGTCAGATTTATTTATTTATTTAGGCTTACTTTAATTTTATACTTTGTAATTAAGGTTGCAAATGAAAATGTGCTTAAACTGTGCGTTCTTGTTCGAAGTCATTGATACTATGAAGTCTTCATCTACATCATATCTGCAAGTTATTTCTTGGGAAAGGCTGCCTATCAGGTCAATGGGTTTGTTCAAGATTTTTGTAATACATTTCTTTAACAGAACATCAATAAATGAATGACAGTGGAATCAATATTTTTAATTCAACTAAAGTAACCCCTCAGAGTTTTGACTTGGCTTCTTTTTGTTTCATCAAAAATATGTCCTGTAAAAACTGAAAGGAGAGGGTCCAAAGAATTTGGAAATGGTATCTTCCCATCTGCATTAGCCCTTCCCTCTCTGTAAATAATCGCCACTCCCTGATTTCTTTGAGGTCTTGCTTGAATATTAGTTTTTAAGTGCACCTTAAAGCCTCTTCTGCTGTTATTGTTCCTTCAACTTCTTTCACAGTAAAGGCATGTCATTCTGGAAAAAAAGAAAATGCTCTGTCATTTGATAAAGTAGAGCAGATGCTATTTAATTTCGTAAAGCAAAAACAAACATGGAAGAGTAATTATCCAACAGTAAGATTGTTTATCCTTGTTTGATCGTCATTAATCTTCCCTTCAGTTTTCTTGTGCATTATTGACTGCATGATTTATCAAAGTGTTGACCAAATTACTCCGGAATTATGCTGCTTGTGAAAGGCATCTGTTCAACCGAAGTGCCCCATACATTGGCAGATCCAGACCATCAGATAAGGGGGGGCCCAGTCATCCAGACCCTGAGATAAGGGGGGTGGGGGTCCGTCTCCAAAAAAATTCTTTTTTCGGCCCTTTGGGCCTCAGTCTGGTCTAATAATAAGGAGGGCCAGTAGTTTGGATTAGTGCAGATTTTTAACATAGAAATTGCTGTGAACCCAAATTAGCATCTGTTAGTAAGAGGTGCATGTAAGCTTATAGGAGGTGTCGGTTAACAGAGATTCTG